CTCTCTCTCTCTCTCTCTCTCTCTCTCTCTCTCTCTCTCTCTCTCTCTCTCTCTCTCTCTCTCTCTCTCTCTCTCTCTCTCTCTCTCAATGTTTTGGGTAAGGACAAGTGAATCTTGACATATGCAATAGCTGGTTGAAGAGATTTAAGAAATAAATAAAATGTAATTAAAAGGAAATTCTATAAATATACAGTAACTAAATTTATTTACACTTTTTTTAATATCTGAGTTTTTTCTTTTATCGAATTTAATACATCAAATAATTATTTATTTATTTTATTATGCTATATTTTAATTCAGTGCTCTTTTAATACTTAAACTATGTTATTTTAATCAAAAATATTAATAAGTTCAAAATAGAATTTTAAAAAAATCTGTAAATGTGTTATTTTATTTCAAATTTTAGGAATAAAAATAACTAATATTTGGATGAAAATTCAAATTTAGAAAAACTTGATTTTGAAAGAAATATGAATAAATTATTTTTAAGTTTAAGAAATAAGTTAAACTTTATATTAAAATAAAAAAAAAATTAAAAAGTTTAAGAGGTTATCCACAATTCTGTTTCTTTCATTCCTAAAACTTAAAATAAAAGTGGAAACTCTTAAGATCTTTTTTTTAATTTGTGATTTTTTTTATAAAAAAATTGAACTTATTAACATTTGAAGTAAAATAAACATAAAAATGAGTACAAATTTAAAGATTAGTGCATTGAAATGAGAAAACAGTTAGTTGTGGTATAACATGGGTAGTAAAAAAATTTGAGTATTAAGAGTTTAAGGGAATTTTTTTAATGAAATTTTCTGTAAATTAAAATATTTTAACCAAACTCTCTTACATCTAGCGAGTTCTCTGGTTTACCAAAACTCGGTTTTGCATTCCAATTAATGTGAATTCAACCGAACTTTCTTAGTGAGCTTTGTTTAGTAAATTGTGGTTCGACTTTGCCAAACCCTGTGCTGCCGTTACTTCTAGAGAAATAAAAGAAAAGGAGAGATGCCACGTAGATAGAACCACGTCAGCAAAAAGAAAAGAGATTTGTATAGTGTAATCTTTCTTAAAGAGATTTAGATAGTGTGGAAGTCCAGCATAGAGGAATCATGGAAAATCAGGAACTGAAAGTTTGTTAGTGTTTTTCGTTTTCTTGAGACTCTTTAATTGAGTTTTTTCTCATTCTTGTTCGTGAGTAACGTGATTCCAGTTTATCATTCGTAGAAATTTCAATCAAAAGCATTCGATAGTGCTCTGCAACATTATTACTCAGCTGCTTAATCGTCTTCGCTCTCGCTTACGCATTTCCTTTGCTATTGTCAACGAACCTGTTTCAAAAAAGATAGAGAGAAGCCAGAGAAATCTCATCGTAGACTGCTTACGGAGAAAGTGCCTGAGCTCGGTGACGCTTTACAAGGAAATCGCCAAAGGATTTAGGTAATTTTGGATATCAGTTCTTATTTATCAATCAACTTCGAAGCATATCTGTAGTTTTGGTTCCGATCCAAGATTATCTCTGTTGAGTTTTGAAAGGTTCTTAAGCGGGAACTTGATTTGAGAACTTCGATGGATTCTCATGTTCGTTACTAGTTTGAATCGGAATCGTCTCTGAAAATTAAGATAATACAGTTTGTAATCAGATAGAAGATAATCTTTCATTGATTTGAAGCTAAGTGTTTATGAATATTGAATCTGCAGGTAGTAAAAAGAGAAAGAGATGGATGAGTCTGATGGTAGGAAAATTAGGAACATTTGTATCTTAGCACACGTAGACCACGGTAAAACAACTCTCGCTGATCACCTAATTGCTTCCTCCCGTGATGGTGAGCTTCTTCACCCTAGACTAGTTGGTAAGCTTAGGTACATGGACTATCTCGACGAAGAGCAGAGGCGTGCTATCATAATGAAGAGCTTTCCGATATCTTTTCGGTACAAGGACTACTCTCTGAACTTGATTGATTCCCCTGGATACATGGACTTCTGTATTGAAGTTTCAACAGCTGCTCGGCTTAGTGATGGTGCTTTGGTTTTGGTTGATGCTGTTGAAGGTGTACAAATTCAGACGCATGCTGTGTTGCGTCAAGCTTGTATCGAGAAGTTGACTCCTTGTTTGGTGCTTAACAAGATTGATAGATTGATTTGTGAGTTGAGGGTGAGTCCTATGGAAGCATATACTCGTTTGATCAGGATTGTTCATGAGGTTAATAGGATTGTGAGTGCGTATAAGTCTGACAAGTATTTGCCTGATGTTGACTCTATACTTGTGAGTCCTTCTGGTGAGATTACTGATGAGAGTCTTCTGTTGTTGGAGGATGATGAAGATGTTACGTTTCAGCCTCAGAAGGGTAATGTGGTCTTTGTGTCTGCTTTGGATGGATGGGGCTGTGGGATCTCCGAGTTTGCTACTTTCCATGCTCCCAAGCTTGGAGCTAAAGCGGATACATTGCAGAGATCATTATGGGGTCCTCATTATTATGTTCCTAAGATCAACATGATTGCTGGGAAGAAGTCTTTAAGTCCAGGAAGCAAGGCAAAACCAATGTTTGTCAAGTTTGTGCTTGAGCCTTTGTGGCAGGTTTACAAGGCTGCACTAGATCCTGATGGTGACAGAGCTGTTCTTGAAAACATTATCGAATCTTTTAACTCGTCTATTCCACCACGTGAGCTTCAGAACAAGGATCCTAAGAATGTGCCTCAATCAGTGATGAGCCGTTGGCTTCCGTTGCCTGATGCAGTCTTGTCCATGGCTGTGACGCATCTTCCAGACCCTGTTACAGCACAGGCATACAGAATCCCATGCTTGGTTCCAGAAAGCAAAGTTATAGGTGGTCACGATGTTGATTCAAGTGTTCTTGCAGAAGCAGAGCTTGTTAGAAAATCAATTGAGGCTTGTGATTCTACCCGTGAATCCCCTTGTGTTGTGTTCGTATCTAAAATGTTTGTTATGCCCATGAAAATGATACCTCAGGGTGGAGACCATGGGGAGAGGATGAACAGTTTAAATGATGAGGACAGTAGAAGTGAGTCGGATGAGTGCTTCCTTGCATTTGCTAGGATCTTTAGTGGTGTTCTTTGTGCTGGGCAAAGAATCTTTGTGATTTCTGCTCAATATGATCCTCTTAAAGGGGATTCGTCTCAGAAGTACATTCAAGAAGCAGAACTACACTCAATCTATCTTATGATGGGACAAGGTTTAACACCAGTAAACGAGGTGAAAGCTGGAGATGTAGTGGCTATAAGAGGGCTTGGACCATATATATCAAAAAGCGCCACACTGTCATCTACTAGAAACTGTTGGCCCTTAGCCAGCATGGAGTTTCAGGTCTCTCCCGCTCTTAGAGTTGCGATTGAGCCTTCTGATCCTGCAGATAAGAGTGCTCTTGTGAAAGGTCTACATCTTTTGATCAAGGCAGATCCTTTTGCGGAGATCTCGTTGTCTGCCAGAGGAGAATATGTGCTTGCTGTTTCTGGAGAAGTACATCTAGAAAGATGTATTAAGGATTTGAAAGACAGATATGCAAAAGTGAACATTGAAGTTTCTTCGCCTCTCATGTCCTACGGGGAGACAACGGAGGACTGGGATCCCAAGAGGTGGGAATGGGACAGCCACAGATTTGAGGCTAAGCCAGTTGACGCTGAGGCCAATGTAGGAAGTGGGGAAGTCATAACCTACCCCAGTTGTCAGGTGGATAACTGTATGGGAGATCTATCAGTTGCTAAGGATTATAACAGAAGACATAATGTCTGTGAGGTTCACAGCAAAGCAACTGAAGCTCTTGTTGGGAATCAAAAGCATAGGTTTTGCCAACAGTGTAACAGGTGAAAGATACTGACCATGTTTTCTTTTCCTAAAATATGATTAGGTCTTCACAAGTTTGGATCTTATGATTTCTAGGTTTCATCTTCTTTCCCAGTTTGATAAGGGAAAGAAAAGCTGTAGGCGTGGACTAGAGTACAAGCGGAGGAGGAGAATTAAGCTCAAGAATAGTACTTCTAAGGTTGTAGCTCAGGGAAGTTCTGATAACAAAGACAACAGTGATATGACTAAGCTAACTTCTTCTGACGATGCTACTACAACTAATTTAGAAAAGAGAACTTTGGAGTTTCCTTCTTTTGTGGGAGGTGAGATAAGCAGTAGCAGTCAACCATCTCCTTCTCAGGATTCATATCCATATGCTCAGGACACCGGATCTAATATCTTATCTCTACAACAATTCACCTCGTCACCAACGATTGCATCTTCAGGAAAGTACTATTCTTCTGCGAGCAGGAATCCCGTTGAGGATAGATCGCCATCATCATCCCCGGTTACTCTGGATTTACTCCCAATGCAGACACCTCCTGAAACCATGAGATCTAACAATGGCAAAAGTTCAAGTCCGAGAAATAGTTGTTTGCCCCGAGAGCTATTTTGTGCATCAAACGGAGGAGCTGCTGAAAATACTAGTTATGCTTCGGTTTATTCTCCTCCCGGTTTAAACTTTGATGCTCAGGACCGCACAGGGAAGATAGTTTTCAAACTCTTTGAAAAAGATCCTAGTCATCTCCCTGGGACATTGAGAACCGAGGTAATTATTGTAAACAAATTCATTGGTTGCTCTCTTTAATTCCAAATTTTTAACACTGATATTTATTTCAGTTGTATAGCTGGCTTTCTAGCATTCCATCAGAACTGGAAAGTTACATTAGGCCATGCTGTGTCATTCTATCTGTCTATATGGCAATGCCAAGTTATGCTCGGGAACAAGTCAGTTGTTGGGTCAAAATCGGTACGACGGAATCAATAGCCAAAACTCCCCGCAAAAATACAAAAGGAATAGTTTTATAAAACCCGAGGAGTCGTTTTATAAAACTCGAAGTCATTTATAAAACTCGCAGACCGTTTTACAAAACTCGAGAAGTCGTTTTATAAAACTCGAAGAATCGTTTTATAAAAATCGAGAAGCCGTTTTATAAAACTCAAAGATCGTTTTATAAAACTCGAGAAGTCGTTTTATAAAACTCGAAGATCGTTTTATAAAGCTCGAAGATCGTTTTATAAAACTCGAAGATCGTTTTATAAAACTCGAAGGTCGTTTTATAAAACTCGAAGATCGTTTTATAAAACCCGAAGATCGTTTTATAAAACTCGAAGATTGTTTTATAAAACTCGAAGATCGTTTTATAAACTCGAAGATCGTTTTATAAAACTCGAAGATCGTTTTATAAAAATCGAACTCGCAGATCGTTTTATAAACTCGAAGATCGTTTTATAAAACTCGAGAATCGTTTTACGAAACCGCAAAAAACCGAAATAGCCGTAAAATACGAACTAGGAGGCCAATGACTAGTTCGCCCACCGGCGAACTAGTCCCACTTGACTAGTTCGCCCACCGGCGAACTAAGCCACTAGTCGGGACGAGACTAGTTCGCGTTTTACGGCTGTTTTGGTTTTTTTGCGGTTTCGTAAAACGATTCTCGAGTTTTATAAAACGATCTTCGAGTTTTATAAAACGATCTTCGAGTTTATAAAACGATCTTCGAGTTTTATAAAACGATCTTCGAGTGTTATACAACGATCTTCGAGTTTTATAAAACGATCTTCGAGTTCGTTTTATAAAACGATCTTCGAGTTTATAAAACGATCTTCGAGTTTATAAAACGATCTTCGAGTTTTATAAAACGACCTTCGAGTTTTATAAAACGATCTTCGAGTTTTATAAAACGATCTTCGAGTTTTATAAAACGATCTTCGAGTTTTATAAAACGATCTTCGAGTCTTATAAAACGATCTTCGAGCTTTATAAGACGATCTTCGAGTTCTATAAAACGACTTCTCGAGTTTTATAAAACGATCTTTAAGTTTTATAAAACGGCTTCTCGGGTTTTATAAAACTCGGGTTTTATAAAACGATCTTTGAGTTTTATAAAACGGCTTCTCGAGTTTTATAAAACGATTCTTCGAGTTTTATAAAACGACTTCTCGAGTTTTATAAAACGGTCTGCGAGTTTTATAAATGACTTCGAGTTTTATAAAACGACTCCTCGGGTTTTATAAAACTATTACTTTTGTATTTTTGCGGGGAGTTTTGGCTATTGATTCCGTCGTACCGATTTTGACCCCAACAGTTAGCCCCCCAGCCCGTAAGAATCGTGAGGTTCTTGCGAGTGGATTGAGCATGTTTGGCGAGTTTGGTAGAATTAGGCGGAACTTTAATGGCCAAAAGTCCAAGGGTGAATAGTAAAATTATTTCCTATAAGTAGATGGAGTAAAATTTTGAATTCTTTACCCCATCTTCTACAACTTATCCAAGAAATTTTTCTCTCTACTTTCTTTGAGGATCTTCAAACATGTTTTCAGGAAGAAAGACTCGTTCCTCGATCAGTTCCAATTTTCGCAATTCTAAGGGAACGAGCTCGCAGCCTCCAGTTTCAACGCCGCAAGAAGAGCATTCGTCCCCGTTAATCGATCCGACGGACCACGAGGCTTTCTGGGCGTTGGGAGATGAGTCGGGGTCCGGTAGGCCTGGGACTTGGGTTCCAGCTCTGTCGGACGTCGATCAAACTTCCGGATATCCGAGCTTGGCTCTTTTTAACAGTATCAATTACATGCGCGAATTTTGCCGAGTTCCAGAGGCTGTCGAGTTTCGTCTCCCACTTGCTGGGATGGGCGACAAGGATGCGCCCGAGGGTTTTTTCACATGTTACAACATTTTCTTGCAACAATGCCACTTATGGTTTCCGATCCCGGAAATCATTGTCCATTACCTTCACAGGCTGGGGCTATCGATCAGTCAGCTGACTCCCTCTGGTTTAAAGCAACTCGTTGGTCTTCTGACGCTGAGCTACGAGCAGGGAATTACCCTTGGCGTTGATCATCTCGAGAGTCTGTTGAATCCCACGGGGCAATCGCAGAGGATCACTCTATGCCCTCGTGACGAAATTGTTACGGGCTGCTCAACACTTTCTACTTCTTGGAAGAAAAATTTCTTCTATGTTCGTATTGACAATGCGTCAGTCGAGGAGGGTTGCATTCCGCTTTTTACGACCACGTGGGGTTGGAAAGGTACGTGAATCGAGTTCCTACGAATCCTCTATATATATTTTTTTTAATTCATTTCTGTTTTTCCGCAGTGACCAACCCTTTGCCTCCGTATCCCGCGGATCTCCAGAACGTCACCACTTCTCTCAAATGTGGTGAAGTCGGTTGGTGCAGTTTTTCTCCGCAACGCGTCCGCCAAGCGGTTGCCCTCTTCCGATCTTGACTCTTTGCGAATTCTACGATTTATGAAGAGGATCCGTTTATCGGGGAGTTTATTCCGTATGTTTCCTCGATGAGGAGTGGCAAATCAAGCTTCCGAAGGGATAAAAATCCGGTTGTCGAAGATGATGATTCTGAACGCGCGGCTTCTCCTGACAATATTCTCAAGGACTTCCTTGATAGTCAGACGGAAGAAGGCGTCTGGACGAAGGCGGGCGGATCATCGACCTCCCATTTTCCGGACACCGACCATGATCAAGTCCCGGAGTTTATTAGGGGGTCTGAGAAAGCTAAGGAGGTACGTGTGTTTATTGTTTTCTTTCTTGAGTAGTTTTTATGATATCGCTTAATTCTTTTCTTTGGTAGGGTTTCCTTGTCATGAGCCGAGCCCTAGACAGTCGTACCGCTGAAGCTCGCCTTGCCGAGTTTCGAGCGAACATGGCCGAAAAGGAAGTTGCTCGTCTTCGGGCAGAGGTCGAGGCCAACCGAGCCGAGGAAGTGGTTACGAGGGAGGTTGCTCGCTTGAGGGATGAGTGTGCGGCTAGATCTCGTCGTGCCAAGGAGCTCTCTGACCAAAGGATTCGTCGTGCTCGTCGTGCGGGCAAACGAGAGGTTGCCGAGGAGATGAAGGCTCGTCGTGAGCGATTTGCAACCGGTTGTTCAGATGCCGAAGTTGTTCAACGGGCGCATGGTAATTATCGCGAATGTCGCCGGATTGTTCACGGGTTATCCCTAACTCAGAATGAGGGGTATTCGTTTGCTAAGGAATTCTCCGCGCGGCGGGAAAGCCTGAATCTGGAAAGAGATATGCAGCCCGAAATTTTCGACCTTAAGGCGCGAATGTGGGATAAGTGGAATCCCATTGTGGTGTCGCCGGATTCAGTCGAAGTTGGACCTGGGATTTCGGATGCGGAAGGCGAAGTTGATCAGTCAGCGTTTGATGACTTCGATGTGTGACGTTAATTGCCTTTCGATTTTGTTGTTGTTTTTCCGGGACTGGCCGTTGGTGGCTGTGAATCCCTACCGCTGGGCGGTATGTACTCGAATGCTTTTAATAAGAAAATATTTTCTAAGTATGAAATTCTTGTTTTGC